TACAAATTTCTTAAAATTTAAGAAAATGGCCGCTTTTAAGAAAATTAAAAAAAATCGAGCATATATTTGACATTTCAAAATTCTGAAAGACACTAGAATATGTTACTTATGTTATAAGTAATAAATTTAATGCTTTTGCTTTCAATTAATAACAACATATTGAGACAAAACTTTGTTTTCATTGATTTATGAGCCTTTTTTCATCGTGATATGCTGTTTTTTTACGTGACCTAACGGAGGTACCTACTTTAAAAGGAATCGGAAACCTAATCCTAAACAGCCACCAAGGATACACCAGTGCCCTTCTTCAAAAGACCGCGGAGGGGTGCGAACAGGACGATAGGCGAACCTATATACTCCTGTTTGTTGCATGTAAAAGGAGAGGCTAAGAAGTGTAGTTTAAGATAATACATAGAAAATATAACGGTTAAAACTAGGCTTAAGGAGTTTGAGATTGTAGTGATTCGGAAGGAATCCCCTCGGGAGACTATTCCACGAAGCATCACTTCTTGGCAAGAAGCTGTCAGAATTAACCTTCCTTCTTACTAGCGGAACATAAATGGAATGGAGATGATTTGTTCCACTGTATGGTCACACGGAAGGTCTTAGCTTTGAAGGTCATGACTGGTAGAACCAGGGAATGTTAGAGAATTTGCCATGAAAATAGCGATAGAGTAGAGAGACGCTTTCGACGCTGCGTCTCTGGGGTAGGGGTAGAGTAAAAAATGTTTAATCACTCAAAATATAGAGAAGATACTTCTGAGCTCAATCAAGGCTCAAATGTAATGACTAGGCTGATATTTTTGGTCTGAGCTGGATTGCAGGAGGATTCAGGTACTTACTAGAGCGGCCGTTTTCTCAGCATGCTTAGTGATGGAACGTTTATATGAGTCGCACTTGAGGTCTGGGGTAAAATAAATGAACTTAGGGAGAATGTGCCTGATACCGTGTCACGATAACTGTTTACACTGTACTCGGTCAAGTCACTGAACACTAACGCGGCATGCTTTGCGGTCTAAAGCGTAAAACTCGCAGACGTTACACGGTGAGCTCGCAAAGTAGGGCCGACCAGACATTCAAACGCTTGAATGATTTTCAGTTCATCTATGATAATTTGTTCATCTTTTTTTTGTTGTACTCATGAGTAAGATTCAACAAAGCGTTTATATTTCTAATAAAAAACAAATGGGATCTAGTTTGAGAAAGCCTGAAGAAAAGAATTTAGATTTTGATCTTTGCCCATTTTGACTTGTTTTATGAGGTTCTCCAGTGTAAAATGTAGTTTCCTTATTATCAAGACATATGAATAGAGATCTAGATCATGACTTTCTGATAAATACACGGAAAGCTATGTCGAAAACTGATATTTGGTGCCCGACACATGGTGACAAAATGGGGGTCATTATCACCTGAAAACGGAGAGAGTGGTGGTATCTTTGCGAGCGTTATGCAGACACATTATGTCAAGAATTGTGTTAATTTGATTGAAATATTAATACATCGTTCCGTCTATTTATCTATATCTTTCGTGTAGAAACATTTTTTTATTTACAGAAAATATTAATACATCGTTCCGTCTATTTATCTATATCTTTCGTGTAGAAACATTTTTTTATCTACAGAAAATATTAATACATCGTTCCGTCTATTTATCTATATCTTTCGTGTAGAAACATTTTTTTATCTACAGAAAATATTAATACATCGTTCCGTCTATTTATCTATATCTTTCGTGTAGAAACATTTTTTTATCTACAGAAAATATTAATACATCGTTCCGTCTATTTATCTATATCTTCGTGTAGAAACATTTTTTTTATCTACAGAAAATATTAATACATCGTTCCGTCTATTTATCTATATCTTTCGTGTAGAAACTTTTTTTATCTACAGAAAATATTAATACATCGTTCCGTCTATTTATCTATATCTTTCGTGTAGAAACATTTTTTTATCTACAGAAAATATTAATACATCGTTCCGTCTATTTATCTATATCTTTCGTGTAGAAACATTTTTTTATCTACAGAAAATATTAATACATCGTTCCGTCTATTTATCTATATCTTTCGTGTAGAAACATTTTTTTTAAAATAATAATAAAAATGAAAAAAAGCTGAATGTAAATAAACTTTAAGAGTGACAAATATAGCTCCCCAGCCATCCAACCCTTTTATAATGGCGTTAAGAGCGATGGTGTCTCAGTTGGATATTTAAATAATAAAGGCAAATAATGGGATTATTATATGTTTGAACTGATTATTTCGAGTGGTTTTTGGTACGGTCTTTCTTTTAATATGCATATCTTGGCTTTTCTTAGGGAAATCTTTTGGTGACGCCGAAATAGAACTGATTTTTATGTTAGCTGTTTTTCTATTATTTTACGCTAAAATTGCGACGAATAATAAATGCAATTACTTAAGTGAACTTGAATGAAGAAGAAAAACAAAGGAAGAAATAAACTCTTGATCGAAAATTCTTTAATAAACAAACGAACGAGAAAGACAGGAAAATATAAGTGTACTTAATAAAATCAAGCATAGAAAAAACTGAAGATTAAGTATTCAGTTGAGTTATAAATAATTTCCGTGTTTCTTTATCAAGTTTAATCTTAAAAAAATAAAGTACAATTACATTTTATTCAACTATGTATAGCCGCAACCTTATTTACAATGACATGTTGCCATTTATCAAGCAGCTCTCCGATATCTAAAATTCCGCAGGTTGTGGTTTGAAGATGTTTACGACAAATTTTTGAACCTGGTTTTCATTAAACATATGGCAATATGAGACATCTTCTTTTATTGGCATTTTGTAATGTTTACTGTTATGTTAAAAATGGAATCTCTCATTATTAAGTAAAGGAAATGAAGCTGCGTGATCGTTCAGTCTATTGATTCATCAGAGGATCTATATTGTATACGGTTGAGTCATAAATAAAATTAAAGTTTTTACATGTGCGTTTTTAATTATATAAATGTACGTTGTGTATTGTTTAGTCCTTAACCCCCTTAAGTTCTGTGTTTCTGAACAAATCTGAATACTTCTGCCTGAGCTTCTGAGTCAAAATTTGCAAATAATTCAGATGTAATGTTTCAGGGTAAATATAAAAATAGTTACAAGTGTTTACTCACCGTTCAACCGGTGGCTGGGCATTAAGTCATTTTTCTCTACCACCGTTCAACCGCTGGCTGGGCTTTACCTCGAAAAAAATATTTAAGATGTTCTGTTGTAAACTTTTGAAAACTTATATATACTATATATATATATATATATATATATATATATATATATATTATAATAAGTTACAGTAAAAATATTTTACATCTCTACACAAAAAACTTTCATGTTTCAGTACAAAGATTGTACTTCCTCAGGCGATGGTAGATATTACAGTTATTTCATATCTTATTTGAAAAATCTTACAGTTATCTAACATCGCTTGACAAAAGTAAAGTCTTAGTACTGAAGCATGAAAGTTTTCTGTCATGATGCAAAATGTATTTATTGTAATTTATTATAGTAAAAATATAATAATATTTTGTTCTACTTTGTATCCAGTACTTTTTTTTTAAAAAAGTAAATGCTACGAACTGTGGATTTTTTACCCCATCTGTTCTTTTCCCTCATCTTGATATATATATATATATATATATATATATATATATATATATATATATATATATATATATATAGTTTATGCAAACTTAGGTAATCCGTATGGGTAGACCTGAGGAGGATGATATCCAGAGAGCTCAATGTAAAATTCAGAGCAGATATGTTTGAATAAAAAGACAGACCATATTAAGATTCATGTAATAAGCTATTTCACCATAACCCCTTTACAGGGTTCTGGATCATCAAACTTACTTCAAAAGCTGAAATGAAAAATGAAAAGAAATTCACGTTTTTTACGGACCTCATCAAGTATACATAAAATTAACGTCAAAACGTGTGAATTTCTTTTTCAATTTCAGCTTTTGGAAGTAAAGTTGATGATCCAGAACCCTGTTAAAGGGGTTATGGTGAAATAGCTTATTACATGGAATCTTAACCTGGTCTGTTTTTTATTCAAATATATATATATATATATATATATATATATATATATATATATATATATATATATATATATATATATCTGTGTGTATGTGTTATTACTTAAACGTTATTTTAGTGAATACACATGTTTGTGTAGACACTCTGTTTAATTATTACATTGTATATTTATTTATTTATTTTCGCCTACTGGCCTGAATATACGAATTTAATTTTATTAATTAAAAATATTTGCTCTTCTACTAATGAGATAATGAAGATGTTGATTTCCACACTACTTTAAACAAAAGATTAGTAAGGAAACGCCCCTGAGTATTAGAAAGAACGACAACAGTTGAGAAATCCATTCTCCTGAAAAACTGTTTTTAGTGAAAGATTCTTTAAATTTCAACCAACTGTAATCTTAATTGTTCGTACAGTAAATATCGAATGTTTCCGTACAATGAAAAGACTAATATCACCATCACTATTTACCACTACGTAGCGATACAGTCAAAATGATTACAAATACTGTCCACTAACGAAGGGACTTCTTGAATTTCATCAAATTTCTTTCTTTTTACTTGCATTATTTACATTATTCGGACTATTATCCTCATTTCATTGCCAACGTTTCGGCCGGTGTAATCTCCGCCCTTCTTCAGGCGATTGGAATTTCGAACCAAAACCTTCGTCTAGTGGGGTCGCTTTTTCTACTTCCATGTGCCATGCCTCTTTCGAATGTCTAAGTTATTTCCCTTTAACTCAACTCTCCATGTTTTGGTTCACAGCAATGGCAGCATTCACTGACTAAAACAAGGAGACAGTCCAAAAGAGTTGCAAGAGATTACGAAGTTTTCTGGAGGTCTTGGTTCAAAGGAGATGTCAGTGTTATTTTCATTTTTTGTGCAATTTCGACGACCATATATATATATATATATATATATATATATATATATATGTTATAAATTTGGGTATATGAGCCACCAGAGTTTATTAGCAATGCGCAAAAAGAGTGGATTCGTTATGAGAGAGAGAGGAGGGGTGAGTGAGAGAACGAATGAGAATGACTGAGAGAGAGTGACAGGGAGAGAGAGAAAGACAGAGACAGAGAGAGTGAAAGTGAGAGAGATACGCTTACTTTGGACGAGAGTAGAATGATTAAGAAAAAAATGACGAAACACACACAGTGAAAGAAAGAGAGAGAAAGAGTGAAAGAAAGAGAGCGGCTTGGGGATGAAAGAGAAGCTAGATTGGCAAAAGAGAAAAAACGATTTAAAGGGTAAGGATGAAAACGCACATACAGTCATAGAGAGAGGAATAGAGAACAAGAGAGAGAGAGAGAGAGAGAGAGAGAGAGAGAGAGATAGTGAAATGGGAGAAAGAAGCTTACTTGGGACGAGAGAAAAAAGACGAAATACACACATTGCACGTGCGAGAGAGAGGGAGAGAGAGAGAGAGAAGGGGGGAGAGAGAGAGAAGGGGAGAGAGAGAGAAGGGGCAGCTTGGAACAAAGAGAAAAATCATTTGGAGGGAAGTGGCGAAACGCCTACAGAGAGTAAGATAGGAAGTGTGGTTACCTTAGAAAGAGAGAAGAATGATTTAGAATAAAATAACCAGATACTCAGACGAAGAGAGAAAGGAACTAAGAATGGAATGAGAGAGAGAGAGAGAGAGAGAGAGAGAGAGAGCGCGTTGGGTTGGTGAAAGATAGTCATTTGGTACGAGATTGGTTGATCTTGTTTATTAGAAAGGTGCAAAAATGTGGAACGCTTATTAGATTGAGATTCGTCGACGGAGATGATATTACTATTGAAAACCTGGCAGAGATAGATAGATAGATAGATAGATAGATAGATATATCGTCCTTATAGTTAGAAAACTTCACCATTTCCGGTTAGCTGTGTATGTTAAGTCAACTGTCGGCTTTAGAAAGGCTTGTATGATTACTGAATGTTGTTTAAGTAACCGCCTATTAAATCATGAAGAGGCGGTTGAAGTCAGTTTTATTTTTCTAAAAAAAATCGATTCTGAATGTCTTTCTCCGGACGAATAGCGTCGCGGTTAAAAGTGTGAGCTGGCGGAAACAACATCAACTCATTTTAGCGTTGAGCAATTTTTTTTTCCTATGCAAGCCTAATTACTTAATTAGATCCATTGTTCACTAGAAAAAAAACCCACTCGACTCTACGCTCATATTTACTAATACACACATACACCCACATATTTACTAATACACACATGCACCCACATATTTACTAATACACACATGCACCCACTCGTATCACTTCACCGTTTTCAAGGTTTAATCATCTGGATGCCTCTTTGATACAATTAAAGTTTATCGGCCAGAGACATACGTCTATAAAGTCAGCAGCAAGTTTTATTGCCAAAACCTATATAACTATTTGAGTGTTCTTACAATCAGTTGTTATCACAAATAGAATTTCTTTCTCATTTAGCTTCAATATCAAGAGAGGCAAAAGAAATTGGAAATTCAAATCAATGTCTAACAAATTATGCGGATTGGAGAGAAACTATTATAGACGAGAAAAATCGACTCGTTGAGCCGAGTTCAAATCACAGCCTTACATGCTTCTGAGGAAAGAGATGACCTCATCCTTTCTCCTCTCAGCAATGGGGTCTGTAACGATTTCGCATAAAAAATTAATGAAATTACGACTAAATCTTTCAACCATAAAAATGATTGTCCACGTCAGGACTTACGTGAAGGTGTGGTGTTTTGAGAATTTTCTTCGAACTTTGATCTTCTTTTGAGAATATTTAAGCCTCTTATTTTTACCCTCTCAGTGTGGCGTTTATATAACTCCCTGTCATACAGTTGTTCTGCGCGTTCACATCCTAAGCTGATCTGTGTCACCCTATAGTTTATATGTCGTACGCAACCACTGACATCCTTTGAGTTCCGTTTTTCCGTGTGGTTGGTACAAGATAACCTTCTAGCTCGACCAATTGATGCCCTTGAAACTTCTGATGCTATGGTGTGATACTTAGTTCAAAGCCTATTTTGGCATCTCTTAGAGTGAGCCCAGAATGTATGAGCGTCATCACAGATAAATTCTTTTTAGAACAAAGATTCCTTATTGACATTGGATTCAGAATTTTTCCTATTGTTCCTATTGTGAATCATGCACTAGATGTTAAAAGGTAGGTTGTGTTTTCTAAGCCTTGTTTGGTAGCCCGTTTAAAAGAAGGAACTGTGAATTTTTAAGCGCGAAGAAGCCGAAGAGAACTCAGCTCCCAATTTGTTCTCATAGCAATTCACAAAGATAAAAGGGAACATTGTAATTTAAATAAATTGGACAGTCTAAGATGAAATAATGTGCGTTAACATAAATAATATAATAAAAAAAAAAAAGACGGAAATATTAAAATAATTTTAACAGTTCCATTTTTTATTTTGTTCGTCTGTAATATAGGATTTTATCCATGTAATTATATACATTATTACCTGGAATAATAAGAGTTTTGATTTTTAATCATTAACATTATAAATTATTCAAATATGTAATGATGGAAAGTGTGTTGCCAAAGATTAATTATAATCGGTAGTTAAATCAAACATGCACACGCATAAATATATTACTTGTGATTGTCTAAATGTGAAAAGATGTATTAATGTTGTAACAAAACCCTCATCCTTTTCAAAAGGAAAGTATAAAAAATACCAATGCAATTTGTATTTAGTTCAATGAAGGAATGTAATATGCAAATTTGAAAGTAAATACCAAATTTCTAAAGAAAATAAACTTTTCACTAACGCTTTTATTTCTGTCCATCCGATTAAATGAATTTAGTCAAAAGCCTTGCTTCGTTCTTGTGAACATCACATATGCAATTGATTCATATAACACGTTTTCTTGACCAAATCACATGGTAAATTATGTGGAAACGTCATGCAAAAATTTTACCTCGCACTAATATATATATATATATATATATATATATATATATATATATATATATATACACTATTGTTGAAAAATTTGAAGTCACCACCAGAATTAACATGGGATGAACTTGGCAGAAGAATGAAAAAAGAAATGAAAAAAAACCTTAAAAACTGAAAAGAGACTGGAATCAATTATCAAACTTATACTTTGAGAAAATCTTGTAACGAATGCCAAAAAAGTGTGCTGCAGTAATCAAGGCTAAAGGAGGATATTTTGACGAGAGCAAAATTTAGTCAAAAAATTATTTTTTCTTTTTGTCATTATAAGATTTCTAATTAAAAAGCCATGTCTCACTTTTTTTTTTAACAATTTATAAAAATTTTCTCTTATTTAAAGTACTAAACAAATACTTTTTGGTTCAATTTATAAGAAATTTACCAGGGTCGGTCTGAAACTTTTGAGCGATACTGTATATATATATATATATATATATATATATATATATATATATATATATATATATATATATTATCCCTCACCGCGAGAACGACATGACTCGGAGTTTCATGCACAACGCAATCCTCAGGTACTGAGTAAAGCATTTAACTCGAGTCGTGGTATAGGTGAGGGATAATATGTATATTTAATATTATATACTTAGTTGCTTTGTTATCTATCTATCTATCTATCTATCTATCTATCTATCTATCTATCTAGATAGATAGATAGATAGATAGATAGATAGATGTAAAATTGGAAGCACATACCTTTACACTACCACTTTTCTAACAACTGTATCATCAGGCACTAAGTCGATGGGTTTCATTTAAAAACTTCATATATGTGTACTTGAACTGTTAAGCACAGTGAGAAAAATTTAAGCTTGTCTGAAGTCATAAAATATGTCTGATAAAAATATATATATATATATATATATATATATATATATATATATATATATATATATATATAAACACACACAAGCAGATTGTGCGATGGATAAATTGTCGCTATTTTATATTTTTAATTTTTTCGCATTCACGTTGTTTGTTTTTGATTTTGTCGACTGCACATTATAGTAGGATCAGTTGGACACCGCCTGTAAGAAAAAGAACACCATGACGCAATTCACTCCGCCATGAATAATGGAACGGCTTGCTGTTCTACTTCGCATTCCACCAGAAGCTCCAATACGTACATTTCAGAGTAACTGGATGTCAATCTACGGAGAGTGCAGAAAATACGAAAAGAGTTGGGTGAGTCTAATGATCATTACGAAGGTTGATAGTCATGATCACGAGTGATTGCTACGTTATGCCCTCATACAACTTCCCACAGGAGATCCGACTAAACACTGATTCCTACATCAAGAAGGTAGTACAGCCCTGGGTAAAGAAGGTGGCTGCTGGAAGACCCTATGTCTGGCAACAGGACTCTGCACCATGACACACAAGGAGGACAATCCTTTTATGGCTGTCAGAAACTTTCTGCGACCACATCACCCATTACATCTAGCCAACTAACTTCCCAAAGCTGTACTGAAGGCAAGGATTATGACGGCATCCAGTAACTCAAACAAGGTGACTGCCTAGAAGAGTTGCAGGGGATTCCGAATTCGTCTGGTGGTTGAATCCAATGGCGATTTTATTGAATAAATTCACTCTTTAGTATTTTGAGATATTTTTATGTAAATTTTTGAATATCTGTTCGAATGAGATGTCAGTATTATTTTCATTTAGACGACAATTGACCCATACCATCCCATATATATATATATATATATATATATATATATATATATATATATATATATATGTGTGTGTGTGTGTGTGTGTGTGTGTGTGTGATATATTAATTCATTTTTCGACCAGGATTTGAACCTGCCTTCCGCTTTTGTAGAAGAAAGTTTTCTTTTCGAATGGGCAAAAAAGACAAACGGTGGAAATATGAAGAAGATAAAAAAGGGAATTAATTGATAGGAGTTTTTTTAATCATTTCACCCCGATCAAGGCGATAAAACCACTAAAATGCAAGGGTTACTCAAAGCAAAGCAAAATGCTAAAATGTTAAGGAGGAGGAGAGAAGAAAATGATAAAAACAGGAAGCAAGGATACAGAAGATGGCGATTGACATTGCATTGAAATATTGGAAGATAAATACAACAATTTAAATATTTGTGAAGTGTTTTAATCGAGGACGTAATGTGCGACACAGAATTCCCAAGGCGCATTCGGCTAACGAAAGATGTCATCCAAAATTTAAACAAAGTTAAGAAACGGAACAAAATGTCGTTAGTAACAGTGCTGAACTCTTACATAATATCAGTTCTCGGATATCTATTGCAATAAATACTGAACAATCTTCCAACATTTAAGCAACAAAAATGTGGTTCTACAGAAGGATGCTGAGAATACCATTGACCGAAAATGTAAGCACCGTCGATGGAATCAAAAGGGACACTTATATTTAAAACCAGCTAAAGGCAGTTCCAATGTTTAGGGCATATAATGAGAAAAGAGGTTTGAAAAATATGAGAGTCAGGAGACAGATTGTGAATAAGATAGACAGAAAAAAAAATTGACAGCAAAACAAGAAACCTGAATTAGTTCCATAACCGAGAAGTAATAAAGTATAAAAAGTATGAAAGTTATGGTCCTTTTTTCAGGACGTTGACGATCATGGCTTTCCAGAATTTCTTGTTCTTTTAGCTCTTAATAAAAATTCTCTTTTTGTTATCTCTCCTAAAATTTGTTCCGCCATTTATTTCCTCAAGCTCACCAGTTAGATGATGCGTTGTTTACCTTTGTCCCTTTTGTATTCAATCTGTAACTTACAGGTGTATCTATTTATTCCAACAGTGAAATTTTGAAACCTAACTACCAATCGATTACTACAGTTAAATATCTGAAGTATAAGTAGCAAATAGTAAAGTTCATGAGAACAATTACCATGGAAATATTCATCGAAGTGGTACAGGGAAGCTACATTAGGGCGTGGTGGGAAAAGGATTGAAGCCGAAATATGTGGACACGACCGATAACATTGCAGATTAACTTTTGGATTTTGTCAAGAATCTTTAGGTACATACGTACATTGAATATTGCTGCCATATTTGGTATCGTTCTCCTGCTATTCATCTCGACGGTTTGGCAAAAATCCAAAGAAGGATCTGCAATGTA